CTTAATCAGAGCAATTCATTTCTTCTGTACAAATTCATCTCAAGTATGCTCTGAAATTAATCGCCATTAAAAATGCCAGCCTTAGAACGGCTCTCACAGGCTTGTTATGTGCACAGAGAGTACCATTTCATAGGTACAAAATATATGGTCTCTTTTTATTCTTTACCAATGACCATTAACAGCCATATTCTTCAACTTTGTTGAGTTAAAGGTGCAAGAGATAACTGTAAAGCAAGTTCTATGTTACACGTGCCTCCCTTATCTTGCCCATGTAGCTTCCGTTATGTGAGCAGCTGTGAACCATGTGAAGTCTCAAGACCAGTGCCTACTGTGCCAAGGTGCCAGGGAAGGCAGCGCTTTATTCCTGGATGTGTTAAAAGCAGGCTTCCATCTCCACCCACTTCTTCTTCATTTATAAATTGATTTCTTCAGGGATCTATGGATTTTATTTTCACTCTATTTTTAGCCTGTCGATAACTTGAGAATGCCTCCAAGGATGGGAAGGATTCAATTCATTTGGTCTTGTATGAATCCCTAATAGTGTGGAAAATCCACCTGAATCTGAATCGGACTGGGAAATGCATGGGTAAGCATAGTGTGTTGGATAAGAGCACAGACTCTGAAACCAGACTGCCTGGGTTCGAATCTCAGCTCCTCTGGTTATGTGGCCATTTGACGTTGGGCAACTCCCTTAAATGCACTGGGCCTCGGTTCCCTAATCTGAAACAGTCTCATAGGTTTGCTATGAACATGTAATTAAATGAACTAATATTTATAAAGTACTTAGAATAGTACTAGGTGATAGAAGTGCTTAATAAAAGACTATTGAGTAAATTAAATGGCCCTAATTAGACCAGAGTTGGCTCTGGGTCCAAGGCTCTATTCCATCAGACTCCGTAACTCCCAGGCCTCAGGCCCCTAGGCTTGAGGAAACGGGGCATTTTTTTCCCTCGATTAGAATCGCAAAGCACATCCTATACCACAAACTTTTTATTCTATTAAACCAAAAAGGCAATAGCAGTGGGCCTTGACTTTGAACACCGAAGTTTATCAAGCCTCTTTCCAGCTCAGTGAATGTGTCTGCCATTTCTCTTTATGCTAATGGAAGAGCAGTGACTCTGATAAATTTATTGACTGGCCTCAAGCAGGTAGCTTGCTCTTTTGGGGTCACTTTTATAAAACTGCTAGGATCACCATGGTATTCCCTGGGCTGCCTGTGACTCGCTGGGTCCCTTTTGCACACAAGCCCAGAGCATTTGCTTAGGTTCCCGGCGAGGGGGTTTCCACGTGGTGGCTTTGCTTGCTGCAGGGGCTGCGCTGTGGGAGAGATTAATAGGAAGTGAAAAGAGAAACTGTTGTTCTTAACTGGCAGGGCTGTTTGGAGTGTGTGACTCTTCTTGTATTTAGGGAAAAGATTACTCATGACTATTTTCTTCCGTAGAATACAAAGAACCTCAAATTACTACTTGCGTCCCCCACCCCCTTCTCACCCGCCTCCCTCCAGTGCCATGTATCCTCTGCAGAAACTTCAGCATTTTACTCTCATTTCCCCTCCCCAGCGGGATTCAGTTCTGTATTTGCTTTGGCACTCAAAAGTCCAGTAAGCTCCCCCATACTTTTTTCCTGTTTCTGAAGGTGCCTCTTCTACTCTGTGGCCCTTTCACTACCACGCACTTTCCTAGGCCAAGCTTGACTAGAACTTCACAGTTGTCCCCTCATGGCTGGCTGTGCTCATACTCCTCGTCTGAAGGAGAGGAAGGAAAAAGTCCCTGGTTACAAATCACTATGCTGTTCCCCTTCAAAGATGACAGTAATAGAAAGTAAATTTTAAAGTTTTTTTTTACCAGTTAGAAAATTGAGATTTTGCTGAGCCATCCTCACGCCCACTTCTACCTCACTGTGATTCCAGATATGCATTTTCAAGGTCATTGTAAAGAATTGGGGTGCCCTGTATCCAATGACCATTTTTAATAGGCATTGCTTCTTTTTTTTTTTTAATTTTTAATTAAGTTTATTGGGGTAACATTGGTAAATACGATTATATAATTTTCAGGTGTACATTATCATTGAACATTGTATATTCTATTGTGTGTTTACCACCCAAAGTCCAGTTTCCTTCAGCTACCATATATTTGATCCCCTTTACCCACTTCACCCTCTCCCTAAATCCTATATTTGACCCCCTTTACCCTGTCTACCTCCCCGCTACTCCCCCACCCCACTAGTAACCACTACTCTATAGTCCTCTGGTAACTACTAGTCTATAGTCCATGTCCATGAGTCTCTGTTTGTCTTGCTCCTTTGTTGCGTTTAGGTTTATAGCCCGCATATAAGTGATATCATGTGATTTTCAACTTTTTCTGTCTGGCTTATTTCGCTTAGCATGATGATCTCGAGGTCCATGCATGTTGTCGCAAATGGCAGTATTTCATCTCTTCTTATGGCTGAGTAATGTTCCATTGTATATATGTGCCACAGCTTCTTTAGCCAGTCATCTATCGTAGGACACTTCAGTTGCTTCCATGTCCTGGCCACTGTGAATTATGCTGCTATGAACATCGGTGTGCAAAAATCTTTTTGGATATGGATTTTCAAGTCTTAGGGGTAAATACCCAGTAGAGGGGTTATTGGATCATATGGTAGGTCAATTCTTAGTTTTCTGAGGAACCTCCATACTGTTTTCCATAGTGGCTGTACCAATATGCAGTCCCACCAGCAGTGTATAAAGATTCCTTTTTCTCCTCATCCTCTCCAACATTTGTTATTACTTGTCCTGTTGATTATAGCTATTCTAACAGGTGTGAGATGGTATCTATTGTGGTTTTGATTTGCATTTCCCTAATAGCTAGCAATGTTGAGCATCTTTTATATATTTGTTGGCCATTTGTATGTCCGCTAGGGAGAAGTGTCTGTTCAGGTCCTCTGCTCATTTTTTGATTGGATCATTTGGGGGTTTTTTTGTTGTTATTGAGTTGTATGAGTTCTTTGTATATTTTAGATATTAGGCCCTTATCGGAGGTGTTGCTTGCAAATATATTTTCCATTTGGATGGTTGTCTCTTTACCTCGTTGACGATTTATTTGGCTGGCATTGCTTCTTGCCCAGTTAAGAGTCAAAAAAACCTCTTAAATTCTTTAGTGGCCATTTTATTCTAAAGATCATAGAGCAGTAACATATTACACATTATTATTTTATAATGCCACTTTTTTCTTTCCATGTGAAAAAAAAATTATAAAAACTTAAAAACCAAGGAGAATACTCTTAAATACCCATCTCTAATGATTCCAGTGCCCATAGTTCTTTGTTGGAGCCCTACACAATAGACCAGTTTCAAAGAGACATCCACAGAGTTCAAGGATGCCAACTACCATTCTTCAAAGCTAGACTTTGCAAAGGAGCCACCTGGAAAACAGTCATGCCCAGGGGCCCTGGATCTTCTCCAGGAGATCTGAGCCATTTTTCCCATGTCCAACAGGAAGGATGAGCAGCCCATCCAAGAAGACCAGACAGTTCTTTGTAATGCCTGAGTTAAGGATGACAGGTGATTCTTTCTAGGATCAAACTGAAGGATGCTTTCATAGCACACTCATCGAGTCTCCTTAGCAAGGTTAAGTAACTAAATAGAGAGACTGAGGCTCCTCTTAGCAAACACTACCTCCATTGTATTTGAACTATTAATTCACACAAGACCATTTTGGAGAATGAAGCTCTGTTGAGGATCTAGCTATTTCTAACCCATCAGTTCTCAAACATTTTGGTCTCGGGACTCCTTTTGAATCTTAAAAATTATTAAAGACCTCAGAGAGCTTTGCTTATATGGATTATAGCTATCTATAGTTACCATATTGGAAATTAAAACAATATAAAATATATATATTTGTAAGCTTACTGAAAAATAATAAGCTTAGCACATATTGGCATAAACAGATATTTATGAATATATTTTCCAAAACAAAAAATGAGAAAAGTGACGTTTTACCTTTTCTCAAGTCTCTTTAATGTCTAGCTTCATGGAAGATAGTTAGATTTTCATATCTACTGCAATATTACATGTTGTGTAGCCTCTAGAAAATTGTACCGTATGCTCACGAAACTATGGGAGTGAAATAAGGCAAATAACCTCTTACTATTGTAGAAAAGAGTTTTGACTTCATAGACGCCCTGAGAAGGTCTTGAGAACCCCGAGGGCTCCCCAGATCACACTTTGAGAACCACTGTTCTAAAGCACTTAAACGATATCAAAGATTTCTCAAAATAGCAAAATGAAATAAAAATGTGGGCTCCCAGGCAGGCTTCCAGACAGAGATTCAGCCAGAGCCACCCTCTCAGCCTGAGCTGCAGTCTTCCCTTTGACCCACTTCTGGTCCTAGTCAGAGTCCGAGTACCACCCCCACCAGAAAGTTCTGACAATAGCAAGTAGAATAAAAAGGCAAGAGATCTTTTTACCCTTACCTGGCCCTCTCATTCCCAGAGGCTAGCCTGATAGTTTCTCAAAGGCTGACTGAATTGCTCTTCCTGGAAGAAGTTCCAAGGAACACTTCATTATCTGGCTGCTCTGGAAAGTCGAGCCCAGCTCATGAACAGTCTCACTTCTAAAGGAGGCCGAGCTACAATCAGCTCTGAATTTAAGGTCCCCTCCAAATTATATTGACATTTGTCATGACTCCAAGCCCCCTTGGGTGCATCAGGCCACCATGAACCTGTAACTTTAAGGCAAGCCTGGAGACAAGGAAAGACAGAGCTCTAAGACTATGATCCCTTAAACACATAAAAGAGGATTTTTTTCTCATTTTGCCTCTAAATAAAAAGTTCATTTGATATCACGCCTTGGCACTTATGAAGCTTGAGTTTTAACCGAGGATTCAGAGTTGAACATAAGGGCTCTTCAGACATGGAGACTCAATTTTGTTAACCATTCAGAAATCTTTCCCCTTTATTCCAACTGTCTCACTGACAAGACCCTTTTTCTCTTTTTTTCTGCCTTGCTCTCTCTCCAACAGGCTTGCAGCCCGTTTACTGGAGCAGGGATGACGTAGCCCAGTGGCTCAAGTGGGCTGAAAATGAGTTTTCTTTAAGGCCAATTGACAGCAACACGTTTGAAATGAATGGCAAAGCTCTCCTGCTGCTGACCAAAGAGGACTTTCGCTATCGATCTCCTCATTCAGGTGAGAGTCTGGACCCTTGAAACATGCTCAGCCTAGGAAATCTGTTATAGTCAGTGGTTGGTCTTTGCCACCGGTCATCCTGCCCCAAAAGCTGTCCACTGTAGGTCACCATCGGCACAAGGACGATGGCCTAGCTTAGCAGAGGAAAGATCCTGCTGGCATATGCCAGTTTGAGGGGAGAAGAGGGAGAATTTCCAGATCAAGAGGAATGTTTTAAGGTTTGGAGGAGTAACTCAGTATGGAACTACAGACACTAGAGCATAAGGGATATAGTTGTGACACCACATAAAGAAGAAAATTTATTCCAGCCCTTTCTCTCTACCTTGCCCCTGAGTCTGAAGACTTAAAAGAGATGCATGAGAGTGAGTGTTGGTTGTGAACTGCTCAGTTAATAACAGAGACAGGAGAGGAAGGAAAATGAGCCCTGCTGATGCAGCTAGAGTAAAAAGGAGAGAAGAAACGAGGGCACAGGAAGTAAGGACTGGGAAAGGTGGAGATCCTAGAAGCCAAGGGAAATAAGCTCCAAGGGCCTCGGGCGACTTCCTTTGGAAGTACGGAATTTTCTTTGAAGTAATACATCCTGTAGCTCGTAGAAACCCTGAACAATTCAGGTAGAAGTTCCTCAGGCTCATCTAACTAGGAAGACGTGTCAAATGAGAGCTCCAAAGACCAGAGGGAAGATTTAATTCCATAAGGAGTGTTTGTATCTGCAAAGTCTATTAAGGATGTAGACAAGACTTTAAATATACTTTCCAATTTCATATCTTAAACTTTATGGATATTTAGCAGGTAGCTATTTGGAAACTCCATTTATCACAGGAAAACTTTGGTCTTGGGTTTATGCCTCTTGAAGAGCTACTTATTCAAGTAGCAGTGGGCCCTCCTTCTGTCGAGTCTCATGTGGTTCCCCAGCTTTGATGTAACTTGTCTGGCGGAGACCTTTTTTTCCTTGACCAAAGGCAATGGTCCTGCAGAAGGTCTTGGCATCGTCCCCAACGCCGTTCAACCCGTTTTTACTCCTGGAGGCCTGCCAAAAGCTAATAAACTAACCGTCATGAGGAAATGTCCCCCAACACAGGGAGTGAGATAAGGATAGAGAACAGAATCTCCCCTGCTTTTCCCAATTGCAGCAGACCGTTTATATGAGGAAATGGTAAAGAGGAAGTTTCCCCCAGAAGTAAAGATGTTATTGAAACTTGAAAGCTTATATCTTTGAAAAACAGATCCGTTTTAAGATTTTATAAGGGATACAAACATACCTAAAACATTTTGTCTCGAATCATTGGGTTTTTTTCCGTAGTCTCAGAATAAGAAAACTCTAAAACAACCATGTAAATAAAATTAATGTAAAAGGAATCTAGGTAGTTTATGCAAAATAATTTAATGCAAAAATACTTCCATTTCTGTTCCAGTGGAAACTCAAAAGATATTACACGCAAAGAGACAAAATTACTGACTTAGAGGAAAAGAGCTCTTAAGTCTTTTGTGTTCCCGGAAACCATTCATGTAAGGCAAACAAAGAAATGTGTTTTCACTTGATTTGACTTAGACCTTGGGCAAGATTTCCTCCTTGAATCTTTGCAGATTCCCCCCTCGTCATATCTCAGGTGCACCTTTTTATTGCTGGTTTATTTTTCTCTCCAGTGACCTCTGAACTTTACTTATGAAACTAGGTTCCCTCTGCTTAAAGCTGCTGGAAGCAAAGATATGCAAAAGCCTGTCAGTAGTTCCTTGCCACTATGTCAGGTCTTTGCCAGAGTGAGTATGTGGAAGACTGGACAGGATCCTGCTGTCCAGGTAGATAGGCAGGATTGCATTGAACCTAATGGCAACAGGAAGCTGAGGAAGGGAGAGAGCAGAGTAGGATGGTCTCACGAAAGAAGGAATGGAATTAGTCTGCACCATGAAGGATGGGTAGAACTGAGTAGGCAGAGGAGAGAAGGGGAATATTCTGGGTAATTGGAGCAGCATTAGCCTAGTATATTTGAGTGACGGTGAGAAAACCTGATGAATGAATGGAAAAGACAGAAGGCAGGAAGCCCAGTTAAGGCTGATGCACTAGTCTGGAAATGAGGTGCTGTAAACCCCCAATTAAGTAGGGGCAGTAGAAATTCATTCTGTGAATATTCCCGGAGCACCCCATGCTGGTGGTGCAAACGTACGGGCTAAGGGAGTTGAGGGTTGGGAGAGGTAGCGTCTAGCTGGATTGTCGAAGGAAGCTGAAGGGTGTTGGTAATGAAGCCGGATTTTGAAAGCCTTAAAAGATAAGCAGGAGGGAGGTAAGAAAAGATGTTAAGGAGGTATAGACCAGTTTGTGTGGAGGAAGAATTCAGAGATAAGGCTACACGGGGCTAGGTCTTCTGTTTGAAACCCTTCATCATCATTTATCACCCCTCCCTCACTTGTCTAATCGCCTCTTCCTATTCCAAGTTCTGCTACTTTCTCCAGGAAAACTTTCCTGACTCCCATCCCAGCTGCCCTGATTCCACCCCACCTTCCTTTCCTCCACCTTCCCTACCTCAGTTTGGGTTGGATACTGTCCTCTTTTATCCCAGAGCTTTCTCTAATTCTGTCATGGCCCTTGTGACACACACACACGCACACATGTGCACCCACAGTGTTATATGTGATTGTTTTCTATTCCATATCCCTCCTCTAGAGTGGAAAGTTCAGTTCGGGCAGGGGTCGTGTCCTGTTAAGCCACCATATCCCCAGCATCTAGCACAGTGCATGGCATCCACTCAGCACTAAATAAATATTGGTTGAATTATGACCCAATGTGAGAGGGCCTTAAAGCCCAGGTTAGGAAGTTTGGATTTTATTTTGCAGGTAATGAGAAACCACTGAAAGGTTTTGATCAGGAAAATGGTAGGATGGGAACTCTCTCTTGAAAACAGACATTTGCCATTGCTGCAGAGGGTGGATTCACCGGGCCACTAAAAGCAGGAAAACTGGTTGGAATGCTGCTGCTGTAGTCCTGATGTGAGACATTGAAGTCCAGAACTAGATCGGTGAGACCAAAGTAATAGTACTTTCAGGCACAGAGTGGTTAGCTAAAGATAGGGAACTGATCTGGAAGCAAGGTTAGAGTTCATTTTGGCCAAGTGATGCCAGGATATCCAGTGAGACCTGTCCTGTTCTGCAGTTGGAAATCTGAGACAAGAGGCAGGCCAGAGCTGAGAATAATAGATTGAGCATCATCCGCGTTACGTTGATTTGGGAATAAAGATAAGTTTGTGCTGTAGGTAGGTAATTTAATTAAGGCATCAACCAGAAAGCCATGGACAGAATTTCAAGGTGCTCCTGCCAGTAGGGTATACAAGAAAACATCACAAAACAGGAGTATTGTCAGAGGATTTGGAAGACAGAACTAAGAGTTGAGAACACTCGTGAAGTAGTCACCCAACAGGGTAATGAACACATGATATACCTGCTTACGTTCTCCAGAGATGGAGACAAGGTATAAATAGAAAATCTTTTATATCTCTCAGGAGTAATATTTGCTACTGCTTCTTCCGGCATGGACTTTCCGCTTTGTCATTGGTGCAGTAGATGTCCCAAAGATGTTCTTCCACAGTTCATGTCTCTGCATTTGTCCTTATTTTCCTCATCCATAAAATGGGATATTCACCCTGTGGCTCCTAAGTGCCCTTCAACTCAATAGCTCGACTCAACTTCAATCACTGAAACAGTGTTAAGCTTCTAGTAAACAGTACAAGTTCCCACCCTGCAGGCAGTGAATAAATACTTTCATCTCCAACTTAAATACCTTGTAAAACTCACACTTCACCCAATTTTGTCCTGACTTTTCCTTGAATCTTTTTTGCTGCCTCAGAAGACTCAGCAGCAGCGTCTCACTAATCATGGGGCTGCCGGACCAAAACAAAAGTATCTGTTTGCCGCATCACCATGAATAGATGTTTATAGCTTCCTCCTGACCTCGTTTCCTGCCCGGCCTCACCCAGCATTATGCTGTCTGAATATGGAAATAACATTCTTTAACACAACTCCTGTCAAATGTAGAAAGGAAAGAATGAGACTCAATGAATTATAATTGGCTGAAATATTAATATACTGTAGGTTCAAATATGATAGCCTCTCCGAATGCCACATTCTTCAACCAATTTAACAAACTACACTTACCTCGTCCACTTCCAGGACAAGCGTCCTCTATTTTCAACCACTAGAATAAAGCAGGGAACATTCACAATGTGTATTAAATAACTATATCATTTCTAAGCTGAAGATTTCAAAGTTGAAGATAAATGGGATATTTTCTTTGGACTATTCTCCCAATTAGAGAATATAACAAGATGATAAATTTATAACATTGCAAAGCCAAAGAATAAATGTAAAGGAATCTCCCTTTTATAAAACCTCACGTGGAAAGGATAATTTCACCTAGTCCCTGAGCTGCTAGGCAGTTACCACATGCAATAGTCTGGAATGATTTAAATTCAGAGGAGTAGTTGATTAGTTGACCACTCTGAGACTCTGAGAAAACACATAAGACAGCTTTGATCTAACTCTCATTTAGAGTTATCCATTGCAAGACAGTCAGATGGAATGGATTTTGGTATATTATTTATATGAATAAAAAAATTACAAGTTATCTATTTAATCCATGTTACATTCTCTCTCAATGCTAAAAAAAAGAGGAAAATCAAAATATTTTCAGAGCTCCTTCAAGTCAATTCAGCAAAAAGTGTATTAGGGATTTACTAAGTAAATTAGTCTTTTAGTGTACTAGAGTGTGATATTACAAATGATTTCTTCTCTTTCTAACCCATCAGAACCTTTGTTTTTGGAAATAAATTTTGCTTGTGACCCTCAAATAACAGTAAAATTCCCTTTCAAGGTTAAACTGAAAATACTAGTCTTAATTTACAAGTAGTTCCTTGGACCTACTTGCCTATCAATTTATATTAAGCAATAGTAGGTGGCTTGCTAGATTGAATGGCTGGGTCAACTGGCTGTTTTAGAATCAAGTCACAGAATCT